TAAACCCCGTAAAACGGCTAAACAGTCATTTATACACATTTTGGATTACGCCTTTGCACGTAATGGATACGATAAGCGGTCTAATGTTTCTACCATTTGCCACCTAACAAATGAAATAACCGCACACCTCACTCATGNATGAGATAACGAGGGTAATCTTTTTCAGAGGCGGTGAACACGTTCTAAAAAAACAGCTTTACTGAAGCAAACTTGTAACGTGGAAGCAGAGCTAGAAGGCGCACTTTAATTGACCTGAAGACGGAGAAGTAGTCCGTTTCTAAATAAGACTTTCATATTCTTGAAAAGTTTTTAAAATACGACTAGTGACTACTCCTTCACAGAACACAATACACAATACAACGGTTTGTCCCGTCAGTAATTCGATTCGGTCTGGTTCATTTCACACAATCAGCCACCAGGCTGATGTTTATTTTCCGCTGTCACTCCTTAAACAAAGGTGTCGGAAAATCTAGTAAGACATAGTAATTAGAAGACAGAGAAACGGAAAAGTGTGAAGGATACTAGAGATTTAGCACTGCGGATTATTAGCGACCCTGGCGTTTGTAACTAGGACCGAATCTTCGTTTCTGATAGTCGTTTGTGAACAGCAGCTACCGTTCGTGATGGCCAAGAGGCCGAGTCATCTCGCCAAGGGATTTGTCAGCGTTAAAGTAAAAATAATGAATAGAACACAGAATTTCAAACCTCTTTGTTGATTATAATCAGCACGGTATGGTGTCAAACATTGGAAACGACCAGTTTATTCATTATTTTACTCTCACTCTTATTATCCTGTAGTGTTTGCATAGTCTCAGGTTTGCGGTACCTAACAATACACAGGAAAAAAGTGATCAAATATATAAGTTGTGAACATCAATACTTACAGTTACCATTTCTTCGGACTTGGCTTGCTGACTGGTGAACAACACATCGCCTGAGTGTGGATCCGCGGAAAGAAAGCAATTATTTACACCCAGCAGAGCTGTGCTTCCGTCCTGAAACACCGGCTCGAACTGTTCCCGCGGTCCAATGGCATCCGCAATTGCAACAAGCATGGCATTAGATCCAGTAGTCACGCCCAAATACTTGCCATAACTAAGAAAGAAGAGTGAAAATATGATGCAATTTCCGTTTAATATAAAAGTAGAGTATATTCGAAGTTTCGTTACCATTCGAGCTTGGTGTTTAGAGAGCGGACATTTTGTCACCAACCAAGAGGACATATTCAAAATCAAGTATAAATTTTTACGTCCAATTTTAGACTATGCCAACGAATACAGGTAGAATTGTTAGGTTCTAAAACAGACACATATATGTATCAATCAGATTTGTAAATTTTCCATGATTGGGATTGCCGAATATCCAGTCCAGAGGCGATGAATAAAGCGATTCTTTCGCTTAAGTAGATTTGAATCAATCAAGCTATTCTGTACAACTGTTTTCGTCATTGCTGTTATCTCATAATGCATAGGTGTTTTGTTTATTTCACATAATTTTTACCTCTATTTGTATAGACTTGTGTGAAAAAACGTCTGCATTCCAACCGAAAACCAAACGTCATCACTTAGAAATAATACTTACTCCCCTCCCTTCCCCCATCTCAGCCGTTCCCCTATCCCATGGTTAACATTTCATCTTTTTTTCCATATCACACAACAGTTTTGACCAAGTAGATTGATCAATTTTCTATTCCGCTATCTTTCTCAT